TGGGATGTGGCCATTTTGCATTCAGTGCCTTAATGAACGTCTCGCCTTGAGTATTTTGGACAATGCACATATCCTTAGGTGGCTCTGTATTAGAGTTTACTAGTTAGATGCTTTCCCTCTTTCTGTTCACAAAATAGTACTTACCACACAAGTAATGTGGACAGCAATCGCCCAATTCCTGCTTCCTGACCACTTCGTAGAAGCGTTCAGCGCACTCCTTTAGCGCTGGTGGGCAGTTTCTCACATCACAGACGATCTCCTGTGTCGGACAACAGCCGAGTTCTTCTTCTACCACCTTTTCGCCTGGCTTGAGCGCACGTGGCAATTCCAGACGTTCACACTCCTCCTTCGGCTTGCATTCTATAAATTAAATATTGAGAGCATAATTGAGTCCCTCTTACACCACACTTTCTCCACTCAATCACTTACCACAAATGAATTGTGGACATCCATCCGGTCCGGTCTTCTGTTTTTTAAACTGTCCGGGTCCACATATGGGCATCAACGGCTCGAGACACAATTTCGCAGGCGGCAATTTCGCCTCTGGCACACATCGATAGCGTGGACAGCACTCATCGACCAACACAAACTTCTTCGGTGTAAAGCCTTCAGCGCAGATATTTTCCTCGACCAGACACTTTTGTTCCACACATTCCACTTTGCCTTCGAGGTTACAGCTACAATCGGTGCACTTGTCCTTCTTCCACTTCTCGCCCGGCACATGCACCAAGTCGTCGCATTTCACACACGATTTCTCGGGCACGCACTCGCCATTTTCCATTACTTTTCCCTGTGGACAGAAACAACCCTCGAAACGTTCTTCGGCCGCGCACATGTCTTTGATTTCTACAGTCTTTACAAACTTATCGGTCTTCATTATGACTGCATCGTATTCTTGCATGGCTTTAATCGTCTCGCAAGTCCTCGCACAACCACAAGGCTCATAGACTAGGTCTGTGGGACAATCGAAGGGGCAGAGATCAGGACGCCGCCAGTTCAAGCAAACGCCCTGTTTTGCGCATTCGTGCGCATAAGCGTTCATCGAATTGCAAGCACTTTGTCGTTGACTGCCGGGTTTGCAGAACTCCTTCTGACACAAAGCGACATATTTGCCAGGATCAATTATGATGTTGCAACGCCCGAAAAGTTCGTCATTGTAAAGCAACTGGCAGGGATCTTGTTCAACCGGTGGAGGTTCGCATTCATTCTCCGGTACGCTTTCACGGGAGCAAATTTGTAAGTCATTGCCTAGCTTAGGCTCCTCTGCCTGCCAACTTTGTAGCACAACCGCCAAGTCTGTGCTAGGCGTGCGTCCTTTTTTCTTGGCGGGATTTTCAAGAAGATCATTTTTGGGATTGTGGTCGCAATTGCCGCAGAGGCCTTCCATTTTAGCGCTGTACTTGATACTGGGCACAGAGAGCTGAGGTAGAGGTTAGAGGGGAAAAAGTGAAGTGTAAATATTTTTTTGGTAATCAAGAAAGCAGTGATGTATACCGCAAGCAAGGTATTCTCTGACGAGTGTATTCACACTAAGCACTTACCGCATAGGCCATATCGTCGTAGGATACCCGCAAGTCCACATGACTTTCCAGGAGTGAAAGCAACAATTCCTTCCCATTTAATTCGCGCATACTGATCCAAGACTTCTTGAAAGGCACCTTTTCCTCTGCGCCATCGATGAGAATTCGTGGCACCTTACCGACCTTCGGACGCTCAATATGTATGAGGTGATCGCCATTGAAGACATGGAAGGCTTTAATGCATGAGTCCTGTGTGGCATTGGCGGTGTAACCTAGTCGCTTGCAATAGTCCATTGTGACATAGACCTTCGGAAGTGAGAGGGATTTACATTTACTGTAGGGCTTCTACCCATGAAAGGACTTACCTGGAAATTATGCTGTCCTGGCAATACTATATCTCTCGACAGCAGATATGTACAGTTGCCGTTGAAGTGGAAATCTCTCTTGTCGTAAGTGAAGAACTGCGACTTGCCGATGGAATTGCAGACGCAGTCCTTGCAATCGGCCACAGTTACACATTTCTTACCCTGGCGCACAGTGCCTTCGGGACAATAGCAGCCGGGGAAGCAGGCGTCCGGTATTATGGGGCAATCGTCGGTGTTTAGCGAGTCACAGGATGGCTCACAGCGGCGTTTGTAGCAATCGGAGTGGATAAGTGGCGCAGGGCAATCGATATCTGTAAAGGAAAGGAAATATTATTCAAGTACTGGAAAGAGAATGATGACGTAAAGAGTGAGAATGAAAATAAAGATAATGAGAATGGGAATCGCAATAAAAAGTAGAATAAGGATAAGAAAGGGAATGATTTAAAATACAAATGGGAATGAGAATGAAAATAAGAATGAGAATGAGAATGAGAAAGAGAATGAGAATGAGAATGAGAATGAGAATGAGAATGAGAATGAGAA